CCCCCCCAATATTTTTTTTACAGAAAAAGAGATCAGCAGAAACTTGATCTCTATCTTTAAAACTCTTGATATCTTCTTCATCAACAGTCAGTAATTCCCATGTAAAATAAAAAAATCCCCCAAAAAATTAAAATGAAAACATGACCCTTCATATTATTTATGCTTCCAAAGGACCAACCCAAGTCCAGTTGGACGAGGCCTTTCCCATTTATGGCCTTTTCATTGCCATTATCCTTCTAGATACAAAATGGATTCCACTTAGCATGGTGATAGATTACAGACACCTGAAACACGAACCAGGTATTCCATTTGTAAAGGAGCTTAGTACTGTAATTACACAGAGGAAACTTGTGGTATGAAAATGAGAACGGCAGCAGGAGACTTAACTCACACGACAGCATCATTGGACAACATCACGAAACCATGTCTGTGGTAACAAGATAACCTTGTCATACTGATAAGGCACAAGTTCACTGGAGCATACCTGACTACACCTTTAATTCACAGAGAATGGAGATTAACTCAAAACTATATTTTACAAAATTAATCTCACAGAATATTTAATTTTTTTTCTTTCTTAAACATGAAACCAATATGTGTGGAGAAACCTTGAGAAAAGAAAAAATTAGGGAAGGAAAAGGGGAGTAGATGGTGATGTGTTTGTAAAGAACTTGAGGATGGAGGACAGGAAATAGAAAAGATGAAGAGATAGAGAAAGGAAATGAAACAGAGGAGACAGTAATGCGAGTATAGAAGATAGAGGTAGAGGACAGAAAATAGAGAAAGATAAAGAGGAAGAAGAGAAAAGAAAGAAGAAAGTTGAGAATGCAGGAAAGAAAAGAAATGCAGATCTAGTAAAGAGGAGATAAGATAGAAAGAAAAAGTAACAAGGAAAAATGCAACAGAAAGAGAAGTGAAAAAATGAAAGAGAGAAGGAAAGAGTGTGAAAAGAAAACAGAATGAAGAAACCTGAGGAGGGAGAGGGGGATGGGAAGGAGACAGAAATTAAAACGAAACAGAGACACAGAAGGTAGAAAAGAAACAGAGACAAAGACAGCAGGAGCAGAGGGGGTGAAAAGAGAAACTGGAGGAGACAGTATTCTAGAATTTGAATAGACAAGGAGAGATGCAGTAATGTTAGGGAGACTTACGCTCGTTCCTGGGTGTCAAGATGCTGGACGAGTTCATCCCGTTTGTTGACGATGGCGACCAGTTCCTCGAGCAGTAATTTCTCCCTGTGTTTCTGAGCCTGCGTCTTCTGCCAATCTGTTTGGAAATCAAACAAACATTAACACTGATATACTTAATTCAACTCCTCAACATAAGGCTGAAACTTTAATCATTCTTGATTCAGGGCTCTAGTCTGAATGGTAATTAACTGTTCATTTACCTGTCATTAGTTTTAAAGGTCCTTTCATGACCAAGCGAGGGGTATTTTTTATGGTAGATGTGCCATCGGGTAGATAAAGAGTAAAAAGGGAAAAGTAAAGTTTTCCACATGGGCAAAAAGGTGCAGTCCATCAATTTATTCACAGGCGAGACATTTACCGGAAAGATATTTACAGGTGAGAAATGTTTACAGGTGAGACATGTGAGACATTTAAAGGTAAGATATTTACAGGTATGCTATTTACAGGTGAGACATTTACAGGTAAGATATTTACAGGTGAGACATTTACAGGTGAGATATTTACGGGTGAGACACAACCACTTGTTACCAGTCAAATACAATTTTTCTTTAATAAAAACATAAAACACAGTAACAATGTGTAAGCTAGATGTCAAATAGTGGAGTTTTGAACTGAAATATTGATTTTAACTTGCTTTTGAAAATAATTTTTTATATCAGTACAAATATCTTTTCACAGTTTATCCTTTATCTACTTTAAATTAATTACAAATAAAGTATGTACAGTTATATATACAAAATATGCAAGTAACTATTGTATTGTAAATCCACACATACTTGTAAATTTCAATTTTGAAAGTTGTAGGGGAAATTATACTACAAACTGCTATTAAAGTTGAATACAAATCATTTCTAGAAAATCTGTTTCAGTCAAATGCACATTTGGATTGATCTTAAAAACCAACACTGTCATAATTACTGACCGTCTTGTACATGAGCTTTGAGACAGGAAGTTATTCCTTACATATAAAGCGCAAAGTAGCTATAATTAAATACTGGATAAATATTTTGAATACAAATAACTTTGTACTAAAAGCATGCTATGATGCACTACTTGAGCTTAATGTCAAAAAGCCGAATTGTAAACTTAACTGGGTTTATCATGTTAAAAATGATTTATATAGAATGGGTTTTAATCATATTTGGGATGTTCAATATGTTCCAAATGAAAAACAATTTGTGGAAATGTATACCCAACGTCTGCATGACGTATTTATTCAGGAATTACGTGGTGCGTTTGAAACATCTTCTAAATGTTATTTATATAGACATCTTGTCGATACTTTTAATATGCAATTCTATTTAGTAAAGCCTTTAACATTTAATACCAAAAAAATGTTGAGTCAATATCGCATGCAGGCGCATTCCCTTAATATCGAATCTGGACGTTATAATGGGGTTCTGAGAGGTCAAAGATTATGTTTTGCCTGTGACAAAAATGATTTAGAAGATGAGATACATTTTATTCTTATTTGTCCTGCTTACTCTGTATTGAGAAACACATACATTAAGCAATATTACTTCCGATGCCCCAGTGTGTATAAATTAATCGAGTTATTATCATGTAAAAGTATTAAAACATTACGTAGATTGGGTCTATATTTAAAATATGCTACCGCCAAAAGAAAAACCCTCGTGCAGTAATACTGCTAAATTATGTATTCTTTTTATGTGATAATTGCTTCTATGTATCAATTAACCTATATGCTGATTTGCATTCGGAAATAAAAAACTTGAAACTTGAACTTGAGAAAATATATTGGGCAGAATTCTATCATGCCAACTGGTGAAGACAAAAATTTGAATATTCAACTGGTTAAGACAATATTTGAATATTTTTTACGAACTGAAAAAAAAAGGTATGTCACTTTGCTTTTTCTTTTGGTCAGAAATCAAGGTAAACATATCAGATCCTTGAACTTGACCATTGAAGACAAAAGGACTGACCATTATTGACCAGTCCATAGCCAAGAGTAAATGAACAGTAAATAGAGGTGAGGGTCAGTATAAGGTGTGAGTTTAACAATATAAGTAGTGTAGTAGAGAACTCTAATAATAACACCTCAAATAGATAAACAAATAACCCAGGTAGATAAAATACCTGTACAAATACCGAGATAATCACCCAAAACACCTGCCCCAATATAAATAGATAAACCATGAAAAAAATATCACCTTTCTCTGTCGAATAAATATTTATTTAACACCGCTAATTTAGTTTTATCTTATTTTCAAACAAACACAAACTGGGCATGACTGGAAGTGATGATTATACGGGCGGTGTTAACGTATTCAGCCCAAACAATGGCTGTCATGAAACACGAACCACCATAATGTTCTACCATCAATATCAATCTATTCAGCTAATAGAATCATTAAACTCTCACCAAAACACATTTACACATGTCCTGAGTCCATAATCACACAATTTAGTTACGTCTCAAGAATCTGTCAGTTCGCCATGCATGAACGATTTTCAGTCCCCCGAAACTTTGAAAACATTTATTCCGTTTTGATTTTTTTTGCGCTTTTATTGGTGCAATTTGTTTTTGAGACAATCAAATGTAGGACAGCCTTTTAGCCGTCGCATCCTTACAAACAATTCCATTACTAACGCAAAACATACAAGAAAATTAACTGTTAGAGTGTTTAAAGGCGAATTATTGCTTATTGGCTTAGCGGCACTTTCTCTGTAAGACGGTCGCGGGATGTCAACACATGGAAACCGACAATTAAATATGCCAGGAGGCCACAGAACCGATCAATCTTATCCCAAATCTTGTAGATTATGTAAATATACACCGATACCAATTGTATGTTGTCGGGATTCCGGAGTCCAACCAACCGTACTTCCTTCTTCGGATTTTTGACGGGAGCAAAGACAAAAAATGCACGTCCATTTCATATGTGTGTACTGTCTTTTAGGGATAAAATTTATTCAATAACGTTCCAAATGAAACGGCCATCGTCTTGGTATGAAACATTTCATATCCTGAGTTTGACAATACCCGGCCCAATAAATTGATGGTCGACATGTTACAATGATGTTTAATCAATCAGAAAAATGTCTTTTCATCTCTGGACAAAAGAACTTTCGAGTAGATCTTTTTCTATCGTTCCCTATTCTCCACCCTCCTAAACAAAATAAACTGGAATAAAATGGGACGGACAGAAAAGATGTATTCTCTCCCTAAAAATATGGGCAGTTGTAATGTTACCAGAGGGATCGAGTCTAGACTATCATCCCTACCACAATCACCGGACATTGATATCGTCAGTAAGTTTTCACAGAAGTAATATTATGACAGCGCAAAATTGTGATTCACGGTTTTATGTCCTTTGTAAGTAGCAGTGTGGGTAACCAGAGACAATAAAAAGGCATCAGAAATCAGGTAATTATCATTTTCTAACGTATTACTAAAATTAAAAGCTAACTTAAATGAATCTGATGTACGTTTCTTGCAGTTTTGTGTTATCAAAGAAAGAAACAGATAAGTTAAGAATGTCAGTAAGCCGTTTTTGATAAAAAAAAACCCACACCATGCATCTGTTAATTAGCTCAGAATTTACAATTATCATAAGGTTGATTGTTGGTTCTAATTATAATTTTCTGTTTTCTTCGTTTCCTTATTTTCATTCCTGCTTCATTTTTCTTTCCAGTCAATACCATTTCTCCTTTTCAGATTTATTAATAATGTTTTATAATTTATAATGTTGCCCATTCAAAAGTATTTGAACGTTAAAAACAGCTACAAAGTACAAGATGTAAATAAGTGTATATTATATTTGCCACATACTTTAAAAGCTAGAAACAAATACAACTATCACATAAAAAACAACTTTTTGCTACGTTTTTACAAGTGAAATGTAAAACTTTACAACGAATATAAAATATTAAGTTATGTTTGAAAAGTATTATAAGTGTTATTTTTAACAGTAAACTGACATATTGGAGATTTTTTTTTATCTACAAATAATAATAAATAAATGCTCATGATTTAATAGTGATTTCATAATCAAATGACTTACCCAATCGTCACCTGATGAAACCCTTTGAATTTTCCCTCAACTCACAGGATAAATGCCTCACTCATGTTGTGAAGCAAACAAAAAACAAAACTATTAACATAAGTTAATGAAATGTGTAACTAACTGGAATTTGATAAGAAAAACAAATTCCTCGTAATTGATTTTTAAGTCAATATTTCTTAATTTTCGTAGTAAAATGATCTAAAATTGCCTATTTGGGAGAAAAAATGCAATCCTACTGCTACATGCAATCAAAAAAAGAATATTTGTTTTTCCTAATTAAGCTTTTCACAATAATTCAATGGATAAGAATTTGGTGTTTTCTAATTGAAGAAAACATGTTAATTATATCCTCTAATGGATTTTTTTTCCCCAAGTCAATATTTCTTCTCATAGCACAATGATCTAAATTTACAATGATGTAACTTCAATCATTTTTACTCTTGCCTATACTGTATCTCCTTGAAAATGGTCTTCAGGGAACGAAATTAAAATTTTGTTGCTTCATGGAATCAAAAGAAAAAAGAAATTCTTTAGTTTTTTTTCCTAAACTGGATTTTCCTAATTAATAAATGGACAAGAACTTGGATGTTTTCTATTGTAAACAATTGTTGACTTTGTATATTACTGATGACTATAGGAATATTTCTTTAGTGTAAGTTATACTGGTAAAATTTGAAATCGCAAAAGTTAGCAAAAACAATGCATTTGTAACGTTTTTAAGTTTCCTGAATTCTTCTTTTAGATTTGAGTTTTGGTGAGAATTTAGTTAATTAATTTGCAAATTAACTCTATGTTAAATTAGAAACAAATTCAGGAAAACGATTCAGAAATGAAAGGTTTTCTAATAGAAGTAATATATTACTAGTAAATTTGATTTGACAAATTTTCAAAATTAGCAGAATTGCTACATTGTGTATTTAGGGATTTTCGAGTTTTATTGATAAAAGATGGAATAATTGGTGTTCAAATTTGGACCATTTTGGAATTAATATGTAATAAAATTCGAGGACAAGCTGAGAATAGCTATTCATGGTTTTGTGTTTCC